TACAGTTACAAGATATTTTATAACGGGTCAATAAACTCACACAACAAGTTAATATATTCAAAATAAAGTGACAATACAACTAAGTATTGAACTCATAATAAATATATATCGTCATCGTTATCCATGTGAGTCGAACCTAAAATCTCCTCTAATCAATTGAAGATAAATATCATCCGACCAAAAGCTATAGTTGATTCATGCTTATCTCCTTGATGTGGTAGTTGAAGGATCTTAAAGGACCAAAACCCTAATCAGTAATCTCAAACCAGGTGTGCAAGATTGAGCTTTTCAGCTCCAAAAAAATAAGATTTGTCGTAAACCCAGGAATTAATTAGGCTAAAGAGACTTGATTGTGGTTTAGCTTGAGGCACACTAGGTTGAAAACTTTGCCAATCACATCATTGCGTAGGAAAATCATGAATCAACCCATGTTTGGTTTACTTTTTCTGTCATTAACCAATCGCATTTGTTGATCTCTAATTAACAATCCATTTTTAAGGAGTTAATCATTGTACGTTAAATTAAAGTTATTGACTATTATCACAATACTTGCTTATTTATATACCCCGTCCCGTGATAACCCAACTTGAGGTAAATGGATATTTAACTTGCTTACCAATGCAAAGGGTAGTTAGACTTTTATCATTATATTTTGTTTTATCATTAAATCCAAGTGTTAAATTGAATGTTGATATTGGCATTTTGATTTGGTTCATTTTTATTTACAAATATGTTAATATATACTTACGACATACATATAGACATAAATGTAATTACAATTTTACTTGTTTGAATGTTGTCGAGTCAATCATTCAGAGAAGAACTATATATATGGAAATTTTCAAATACATACAACTATTTGACTTAACATCCACAAGCCACTCGTTTGAACTTACCACACAATATGGTTCACAATTCAAACTATTCATTTTTAGGCACGCCTCAAAGATCAGGAATACTGGTTTTTTAGGTATATTATGAACTTACTAAGAACATGAAAACTGTAAAAATATACAATGCAAGCACATCACAACGGTTTTACCAAATTAATTAATACTAACAACCTGCTTAATGCTCCTAACAGTAATTGGCAAATTATCAATCTCAGCCTACATCTTGTGTCAACCATTGATCTTGATGACCACTTGTGTGATCAGCATGAGCTTATGATCTTCTCTCTCCAAGCATATAATCTCATTGCGCATGTTCTTGCTAATTATACGCAACATGAACTTCGTATCACGAAAAGAACTGCTAAGTTTCTTCACGAGACTTGGTGTAAAGTTTTATTTGATATATACAATATAGTTATTTACATTAACACCTCCTCAAGTTTTCGGTTTTTTTCACAAAATCCCTTGAGGTTTTGAAAATTACATGAACACCCCATGATGTTTTAAATTGCTATCACAAAATTCCTTTTCGTTGATTTTTTGTAAAAAATTTATGATTTTATATATAATACAAAAATTCTGTAAATTACAAAGTTAGCATTTGAGATTAGATTGCACATACATTCATTGAGGTTGATTTTGTCATTTGCACATGTTAAAAAAAAATGAAATCATCAAGTTTTGGATGAACAATCAACAAAAAAGGATTTTGTGAAAACAATATGAAGCCTCAGGGGGTGTTAATGTAATTTCTAAAACTTCAAGGGAGTTTGTGAAAAAGCCAAAAATCAAAGGGGGTTTCAATGCAAATAAGTTTTAATATTGATTATCAACATCAATACTATAAATTGCAATTTTAATAGGTCCCATATAACGTATTAAATTAAGTACACATATTTTGCTAAAATAGACCTCTACGTGAGTGGTGAGTGCTTATTTCGTTATGAAATTGACTGAAAATTTAGACGTGTCCTTAAATTATAATTAATATCATACTACACAAGTGAAATCGACATAACTAAAATCATATAGACCAAAGTAGAAAATTCGGTAAAAAAAAGTGACTTTTTACTAAGATGATTTATATGGACTAGATTACTACATGACTTAAATTACAGGATTGCAAAGCTTTTTATTTTTTATTTTTAATAAAAAAATAATAATAATGATAATTGACAGAATATTGGTTAAATGTGCTACACTAGATGCATCAAAATAAGAGAGAGAGAAGAGTGTGGTTACAAAAAGGTGGAGAGAGAAAGAGTAGAGTAAGTATGAAAAGGTTAAAGCCATGCGATGGCTTTGGCAGCAGTTGCGTGTGAAAAGCAGAAAATTGGTTCAAAAGGCTGAGTAAGAGAGAGAATCAGACACCAAACCCCACTTTATGAAAAGCCGCGTGGCCACGTAAACCTCCATTTGTCTTGTCCCTCCCTAATGCAACACAAAGGCGCGTTGCATGACCGTCCACTGAGGAGCGTGGAGTTGGATCCCCCCTCGCCGTTACAGATAAAAGAGAAAAAAGTTAAAATGAAATAAAAGAGACGGAAAAAGGCAGTCAATCGAATGGCATGACTCGTGAGTCGTGAGAGAGATAAAGAAAAGGCGGTCAAATCCCATTCTCATCTCATGAATCAATCTCTCTCTCTCTCTCTCTCTCTCTCTCTCTCTTAAAAAGGAAAAGTGGCTCTCTGTCTCTCTCCATTATGTTTTAATATTGACAAAAGAGTTTTAAAAGGATCAGTACGAATCCATCTTTTTTGTATTTCTTTTTTATTTATTTCTAACTATTTGAGTTTTATAGAAAATATTGTTGGCCGCATGGATGAATGCTCTCTAGTCTCTACCAAACTGCCATAAAAACTACATACACGACCACAACCTAGTCTTTGATGGAGTACACTTTACATATTTAAGCCTATGATCCTTCCTCCATGGATTAAATCGATAAATGTCAAAGACAAGAACATGGTATTTACATTTTCATTTTCGTCATCTCGTTCTCATCCTATAACGTAATTTGATTATCAGAATTGTTTTATCTATATAAGTCACCCTTTAAAGATTATATTAGCAAAAAATCAACTAAATAGCTATGTAACTATTATCAAACAAATAGACTAATTTAGTGTTTTGATTCAACATTGAATTATCATGTTTAATCACATGACAGAACGATTTTCAATTCGGGATTTTTTTTATTTTATATAGTAGGAATCTCCTTGAATAACAAAAAATAATTAATTTTCAATCATAACATGCTAATCGCAAAATGTGAAGAAGTGAGAAGACAGTACAGAAATATATAAAGAGAAAGTATCTGACATTCCTGTTTCGACAATGAAGATTAGTTTATTGTAAAATAAGGTGCTATGGGTAAATGACAAATAAGAAGAAAAAAAAGCTCCATTACGAATTGTTGTAAAAGTAAATGCTCCCAACTAAACTACACAAATCATACAAACTTAACCACAACCCACTCTTTCATCAAGTGCAATCACATGCAAGCTCCGGTGAGGTCATATAATTTTTATTTATTTATTTGCAATTTAATCACTAATTTATTTAACTTTAAACCATTTTTATTTAAAATATTAGTTACCAAATAATATGATAATAATTTTCTCACTAAAGTTAAAGGATATCAAAGAGATTTAAATATAAATAAATGAAAGACTACTGGAGTAGTTGAGATTAGACACATTAAAATGTAATTTAGTGCCAGTCGGGTATAGCTTAGTTGATTGAACTTTTCTGGTAAAGATTCGAAACTCCCAGATACATAATGAATATTTATGTAAACCACTCTCCCTCAATCGCTTGTATTAAAAAAAAAAATGTAATCTAGTGATATATATCTTCTCGTTATTGAAGTCTCTCCAAATTCGATTTTTCCAACTTATTCATTAAAAACAAAAACTCCACTTTAGCATATGTAGATGGTGGGATTACACGAATTCAATTTACTAAAATTGTAATAGAAAATATGTTTTCCTAACATTTGTCTGAAACAAACTGTTAGAATGAACATCATCCCCTCAAAAAACTTATAAAAAAGAACATATGCAACAAAAATGTGAATTAATCAATTGAAAAATAAACAGAAGATGACATACAAAAATGAGATCATGCATTGCTGTGCTTACAGAGCATTTTCCAGAAATCCTTGAAAACTGTTGGTACTTCCAAGTTCCAACTCTCTATTTTCATGAAATTCTTTCTCACCCACTATTCCATAAGGGAACCCAAAAAAAGCAGAATCAATTTTCTCTACTTGGGTTAGTTTGTTGTCGTGCAGCCCTGTAATATTTGAAAGGGTTGGGTCCATTTTTACCTGGTCTCTGTGTTTTCTTTTCTTTAGCCTTTTTTTTGTTTTTTGTTTTGTTTTTGTTTTTTTAAATAAATGTTACTGATTCAAATAGATAGAGATAGAAAACTGAAAAAGGGGGAGAGAGAGAGAGAGAGAGAGAGTGGGAAAGGAAGAGAAATAAGGGAGCTTCTTGTGAAGGAGGGGGATCTGATCTTTCCTTTTCGCGTTGAATTCTCTTATAGCTTTTTTGTGTGACACACACATATACACACACTTGGTGAGAGAGAAAGGAAAGAAAGAAAGAGAAAAAGGAGAAGAAGAAGAAGAAGAAAGAAACAGGATAGATAGAGAGATCCCTTTAGGCTTAGGAAAACTAACAAGGGAGCTATTGCTTTCCTTGATATTTTGTTTGTGTTTGTAAAAAGCTATTTTTGTAGATTGGTTTTCTTTCACAGCCCTGAAAATGCAAATTTGTCCAATTTGATGAAGCATCCACACCTGGACCTGTGAAACCATTTTCATTTGCCGCTGTCTGGTGGGGTACTCTCTCTCTCTCTCTCTCTCTCTCTCTCTCTCTCTTTCTCTCTCAGTTTCCTGATAAGCTTGAATTTCACAGCACAAGTCTCCAAAGAACAGAAAAACCCAACCCAACAAAAATAGGCAGCAAAAAACACAACCAAACCAAAGCTTCGAAGCTGCTTCATTTGAGCGTTTGCTACTCAAAACCCAGCTCAAAAAACCCACATAAAATTGAATTATTTGGATTTGGAATTCTTGGTGGTTAGTTTGAATTCCAAGAAATGAGAGCGGGGTTGAGTACGATCCAGCAAACCTTAACCCCAGAGGCGGCGAGCGTGTTGAACCACTCGATCGCCGAAGCGGGTCGACGGAACCACGGACAAACGACGCCGCTACACGTGGCGGCAACCCTTTTGTCCTCGCCCACCGGCTTCCTCCGTCAAGCATGCATCAAATCTCACCCCAATTCTTCTCACCCTCTACAGTGCAGAGCTCTCGAGCTCTGCTTCAGTGTGGCGCTCGAGCGCTTGCCCACCGCCCAAAACATGAGCCCCGGCATGGAGCCCCCTATCTCCAATGCTCTCATGGCCGCCTTGAAGCGAGCTCAGGCTCATCAGCGCAGAGGCTGCCCAGAGCAGCAGCAGCAGCCTCTCTTAGCGGTCAAAGTTGAGCTCGAGCAGCTCATAATCTCAATTCTCGATGACCCAAGTGTGAGCCGAGTGATGCGTGAGGCTAGTTTTTCTAGCCCCGCCGTTAAAGCCACTATTGAACAATCGCTCAACTCTTCAGCCGCCGCCGCCTCCTCTGCTGCCGTCAATTCCTCCCCAATTGGATTGGGATTCCGCCCGGGCGGCCCTCCCGCAGCGCCCCCTGGGAGCCGGAATTTGTATTTGAATCCGAGGCTGCAGCCGCAGGGGGCTGCTGCTGCGCAATCCGGACAACATAGAGGAGAGGAGGTTAAGAGGGTTGCTGATATATTGTTGAAAGCGAAGAAGAGGAACCCTGTGTTAGTCGGTGATTCGGAGCCCGAGGCAGTGACGAAAGAGGTCTTGAGGAAGATTGAGAACAGGGAATTGGGTGAAGGGCTGCTGAAGAATGTTGAGGTTGTTCATTTGGAGAAGGAGGTTTCTTTGGATAGGAACCAGATAGTTGGGAAAATGAAGGAATTAGGGGGTTTGGTTGAGACCCGGATGGCGAATTCGAATGGGGGTGGAGTGATTCTTAATTTGGGTGACTTGAAATGGCTGGTGGAACAGCCTGGCAGCTTTGGAAGGGTTCCTGGTTCAGGTCCGGTCCCGCAGCAGGTGGTTTCGGAGGCGGGGCGGGCAGCGGTGGTCGAAATGGGAAGGCTATTGGCCAGGTTTGGAGAGGGTGGTGATAATGGTGGCCGGCTTTGGTTGATCGGAACTGCTACTTGTGAGACTTATTTGAGGTGCCAAGTCTATCACCCTTCAATGGAAACTGAATGGGATCTACATGCAGTGCCAATTGCTCCCCGAACGCCTCTTTCAGGATTGTTTCCAAGGTATGCTTGGTGTTCTTATTTATTTGAATTAGAGAAACTATCCCATAACCAGATATACCTGTGACCATGGAACTTGTTCTCCTTTTCTTGTGTGCCCAAATTTGTATTTGTCTGGCTTCAATGACTCAAGTTACATGAGCTATACGCCTAAATAGGAAGGTTTTGGTTGATTAGTTCTTTCACGTTTGATGGATGATGTTATCCAGAGTTTCTGTCTATGGAATCTTGAACACTGCTCGTTTAGAATAATCTTCTGCGAAAAGTTGTTTATTCCAAAGTTTTAGATTTTGTGTGAGCTCAGAGACTTGCTTGATTTGGAGAATTTGGATAACTGATGGAATCCTTAATTATATTTGATATTGGGGCAGGCCTAGTTCCAGTTTCAATTTGAAGTTGTTTGAATCACACTTGGATAGCATCTTGGGTGCTCTTCAACCTATTAGGCTTTATTTTTTGAAACGCTTCTTTACCCTTTTCTTGAGTCTTTGTATATTTTTTCTAACGTATCTTTTTCTTTTTTAGGATTGGGACGACCAACGGGATCCTCAGTAGCTCAGTTGAATCTTTGTCCCCATTGAAAAGCTTTCCAACTACATCAATTCCTCAACCAAGACTTCTCTCTGAGAACTTGGATCCTACTCGAAGATCAAGCTATTGTCCACAATGTACACAGAGTTATGAGCAAGAACTTGCAAAACTGGTTGCCAAGGAGTCTGAGAAATCATCAGAAGCAGCACAACCACCACTACCACAGTGGTTGCAGAATGCTAAAGCCCGTGATGGTCATGCCAAAACATTAGATGAAACGCAGGTGAGTTGAGCAAGCTCAAATTGCTCCAAAAGTTCTTGTTCTTTCTTTTTCGTTTTTTCCTCTTGGTGGTAATAGACTTTTAGTACATAGGAACTAATGAATTTTTCATTTTTCGCTTCATAGACTAAAGACCAAGATCCGATCCTGAAGCAGAAGACTCAAGAACTACAGAAAGAATGGAGGGATACATGTGTGCGTCTTCATCCTAGTTTTCATCAGCATAATATCACCTCAGATAGAATTGCTCCAACAGCTCTCTCAATGACGGGCTTGTACAATCCACACTTGCTTGCTCGCCAACCTTTCCAACCCAAATCACATCTGAATAAAAACCTTGGGGCTCTGCAATTGAACACAAATCCGCTGACCAGCCAACCATCTGAACGGGCAGTTTCCCAACCTGGAAGCCCCGTACGGACAGAGCTGGTTCTTGGGCAAACAGAAGTCACAGAAACCACCCCTGACCAAGCGCATAAAGAGCGCATCAGAGACTTTTTGGGTTGCATGCCTTCTGAACCACAGAGCAAGCCAATTGAATTGCAAACTGATGATAAACAATCGTGTCAAGTAGATGCCGACTCATTCAAAAAGCTTTACAAAGGTTTAATGGAGGTGTGGTGGCAGCAAGAAGCAGCAACTGCTGTTGCTGAAACTGTGACAAAATGCAAGTTGGGCAATGGAAGGAGACGTGGTGCCGCCGGATCACGGGGAGACATGTGGCTACTGTTCATGGGCCCAGACAGTGTTGGCAAGAAGAAGATGGCATCAGCTCTTTCAGAACTAGTATCCAGGTCCAACCCAGTGATGATAAGTCTTGGCTCCCAACGCAGTAATTTGCAGTCTGATATGAGTTTCCGCGGTAAGACAGTGGTGGACCGAATAGCAGAGGCAGTTAAGGGGAACCCCTGTGCAGTAATCATGCTTGAGGACATTAATGAAGCAGACATGATAGTTCGTGGTAGCATAAAACGGGCAATGGAAAGAGGTCGTCTTGCTGACTCTTATGGTCGTGAAATCAGTCTTGGAAATGTTATTTTCATCCTCACAGCAAATTGGTTGCCAGAACATCTGAGACCCTTATCGAAGGGCAATTCGCTTGAAGAAAAGCTTGCCAGTATAGCAAGGAGCAGTTGGCAGTTAAAGCTATCTGTTTGTGGAAGGACTGCAAAACGACGGCCCAATTGGTTACAGGATGATGACAGAGCCACGAAGCCTAGGAAGGAGACAGGTTCAGCTTTAGGGTTCGATCTGAATGAAGCTGCTGATACTGAGGATGACAGGGCAGATGGCTCACATAATTCAAGTGATCTCACAGTTGATCATGAAGATGACAGTCGCCTCAATAGCAGGGCCTTACTCACAGTCACAACCTCAGCAGTACCTCGGGAATTGCTGGACAGTGTTGATGATGCCATTGCGTTCAAGCCAGTGGACTTTAACCCCATTCGGCTAAACATCACAGACTCCATCAGAAAAAGATTTTCGAAGATTTTGGGTGAGGGGGTTTCATTAGAATTGAGAGAGGATGCTGTTGAAAAGATCTTAAGTGGGATATGGCTAGGCCGGACTGGCTTAGAGGAATGGGCAGAAAAGGTTCTCGTTCCAAGCCTCCAGCAGCTCAAGTCCTGCCTTGGCGGCACCAATAGTGTGTCGGCCAGCGAGTCCATGGTTGTTCGGCTTGAATCCGATTGCAATTCAGATTGCCGGGGCCCTGGTGATTGCCTTACCGGTAGTATCAATGTGGTTGTGGTGCCTGATGGGTTGAGACAACAATGATGTGGGGATATAGTTGGTATATTGTCACATTGTAAATATGGTAAACGGTGTGGCGGGTAGTCAGAGAGATTTGGGAGGGTAACCGTTAGACGAGGGAAACGTTGGATATATTGGCAAAACCTTCCTTGTCCCTTTTTTCTTTTTTCTTTTTCTTAAAATTTTCATTACTATTTTTTCTTTTAATTTTTCTCATGTTTTTCATCCCCTAAAGTTTATAGTATCTTATAATTATAAATATTTATCAATTACATGGACATTGATTAATAAGATGAGGCATTCCTCTCAGTTTTCTCTCACAAAGTCTACGTGTTATCAGTTTTTGTTAGTTCTCTAATTTGGCTCCTTATTTTCCCTTTATTATGCGAAAACATATATTGTTAAGGCATGAATGGCTATAGTGTGGTACTAGAGTAGTCACTAAGTATAACTCGTTCATGTATTATAATATAAATGAATATTTATCGATATACTTTAAAAGTGAGAAATGCTAGTCGTATCATCCATCTATATTATAACTCTTGAACAAAGTCGTATTCTGGTACTATACAATAATTTCTTGACTTGAAAAAAATCCAGCTTCTACCATTTCTCAAAGTACTGTACGTTATATCTGCTTTTAAAAGTATTGAATCGGCAGTATCCTACATGCATGTAAATTATGCACATAAAAATGCCATGGCATTGGCATGCATACATACTCATAAGCTTATAGGCTAGACGGCATGAAGAAGGTGACCATATGGACCAAAATCAACAACAGACAACGTCTCTCTCTCTCTCTCTCTCTCTCTCTCTCTCTCTCCCTCTCTTAATTTTTATAAATATTTAATTTGAAAACCGTCAATAAGACACTCGGTGTCTTAATTGAGAATGATGTCTCTACCTTTGTTTTCATTCAATTAAACTCAGCACAGCTTGTAAAAGATAAGACCAACCTCTCTCTCTCTCTCTCTCTCTCTCTCTCCTCTCTCTCTCTCTCTCTAGTTTTTGTCTTTGCTGTGGTCTGAAAGGCCAAGAGGAGACTCTTCTTCCATAGTTTGAGCGCAAAGCCATTAATGTCATAATGTCATAATGTGAAATTACTAAGAAGACAAAAAGTGGATGCTTCACGTCTACTCCAAATTCAACATATATATACAAACTCATGAGTTCATATAAACCCTACATGCATCATGTATGCGTGTGTTCTCCTTTAATACCCACGTGGCCCACTCATCTCTCTTCCTTTAACCCTACCCTTTCTCCAATTATGCATCTCTACATCATGCAAACTTTGAGTTTTTCTTTGGCTCCTCACATCTATTATATATAAAGTCAATTTTGCAATAAAGATGTACAGCCTGAAAATTTGTCTAACTTAACAAAGATAAGAAAGGAATATTGTCTTCAGACCAAGAAAAAAGAAAGAAAGAAAGGACTATTGTCAAATATGTCTCTAACAATAATCTTGTGCTTGTCAAAAGATAAAAAATAAAAAAATTTCAATGTCAAATTGATTACGCAAACTTGTAACTAAGCATGAAATTAAACTGAATTAAGGTCAAAACATAGGGGTTAATGCTTTCACGAGTTCAGTTTATGGTGAACTCACACTGGGAACACTCTTACTCAATGAGCTAAGAGCATCTCCAACCGATGTGTCAAAAATGCAACATAGACATTTAACGGTTAAAAATAACATCTCACATCACTCCAACCGATGTGTCAAAGCTGATGTGGAATGAAAGCTGGAGGCTGAGATGTTATTTTTGACATCCTAAAAGCAAGATGTCAAATGAATATTTTAATATTTTTAAAAGATAGTTGGCTGTTACTTTCATTTATTTTTTTTTATTCTTTATCTTAAATGATTTGACTGTTATAATAATTATTTATTTGACATATCGGGTGGAGTGTAAAACTGTGTAAATGTCAAATTGTCACATTAGCCATCAAATTTAAATTTGATGTTTGACATTTGACATTTGACATCTCCCTTGGGGATGCTCTAATAGGAACAACTCGTCAATTGTGGGTGGATAACCAAATCGGTGGAGTAGGTAATATTTATGTATTTCCATATGTTGGGAGGAGGAATCAAAACTTGATACTTTCTTTAAGATTGTGGAAGAGGAATATTACAAGAACAATTACTATAGTCGGCCGGTGTGGTAGGCAAAATTAAAAAAAGCTAAAATTTGGGCAAATTAGATTCTCACTTTTCCTAAGGAACAAAAGCCACACCTTTGGCAAAATAACTTTCTTGTGCAAGGATTGATTTCGATTGTGGGTAAGAAAAGCAGTGACAACATATATGACACAAGAATAAAAAAAGTGTTCATATCATGGTTGAAACAAACAAATATAATCTCATTGGCGCCAACCATTCATGTGTTCATAAGGACAAATCATATTATTTCAGATTAGCATTCTTTATCAAGATTATTCTGACCATATATCATACATGTATGGTCCAAAATTATAGACATCATGATGTATAATTTTGAACAAATTGGAATAATAATAACAATTAATAAAAGATTGTTAATTATTATACTGTTAACAAAGAATTTTGGAAGTGAGATGTCGGTCAGGCACAAGGAAACAAAGGGCTAGTTTGGGGATTAAATTAAAGTAGAGAGAGAGAGAGAGAGAGAGAGAGAGAGAGAGAGAGAGAGAGAGAGAGAGAGAGAGAGATAAGGTCGTCGTCTTGCAGAATGCAGAAATGAGAATATACTCGATCACAATTGGAAAGCTGCACTTGTTTTGTCTATATGCAGAAAAAGTAGATGATAAAAAAGAGGCAGCTGGGTGGCGTTCTCTTCTCTTCTCCAAACCCACATACACCTTTACACCTTTATGCTTGTGTCCCTTCTTCATGTCACATCAGCCTTTTGAGAATGAAAACAAAATACCCAACTACTCTCCCCTCTCTTTCCCCACCTCCTCTGCTACACCAGATATATACTTTTTTTTCTTTATTATTATTGGATTATTTTATTTTATTGTAGTGGAATCCTAAACCAGATTAATTAAATTGATTGGAATCATACAGATGTAAATTAAGTCAGTTGGCTGGCGTAGATAGTGTACTCTGTACTCGCCCCTTTCACCCGAGTTTTAACCCTCTCCCTGTACATTTTAAAAAAATCTGCTTGAATCATCATACTAAGCGACACCATTCCGACTATCACCCATGTGGGCAAACTCAAAAACAAAACCTGAAAACATAAAAACATTCATGCACGCATGTGTTCTGAAATTTTTGATATAATTAATTGGAGGCTTGAAGCAGCTGATAAGGTGTCCCCCGGTGTCCTCAAAGGGACTTGATATTATTTGTTTGGTGTGCGGATGCAATATGCTTCTTTCTATGTATGTCCAATAGTTCATCATATTGTTTAAAAGTCGGCAACCTAAAATTACCCTTTTCTTTTCTTCCCTATTTCTCTTCACATTTTCCTCCCATTTTTGACTTGCTATTAACCATTCGTTAAAGAGAATATATTTGTACGGAAGAGTTGTATAAAAATATGATAAGAATAGCAGTATTGAAATGTTTTATAAGCTAATGTGGTAAGAATAACATTATTGGAACCTATTTTATAAGCTAATGTGATAGCAGGTATGACATGTTACGCATAAAAAATTCTCTTATGCAGATATCCAGACATTATTATCGTGCAAACGCCATATATTTTGTATTATCATTCCCTGCTTTCTTCCATATTTACCATAAAAAATGTAGACAATGTGACCCAAAAAGGCATTACGATTATATATATATATATATATATTGTAAGTTTTTCCATATATTTTGTGAGTTTGCCTTTTCATTATTATGAGGTGTCATATAAATAAAAATAGAGTTATATTTAAATTAAGATATTATGAGACTTTTATTCAAATAATGATTAAATGGAATAACTGTTACAGGAGGTGGATATCATCCATTATCTCCACGTTTTGGCTAGCAGTTGTCTCTTAATAGGAGAGTCAGTTGTAAAGCAACTTGTATAAAAGGCTTGGTCTCTGCTCTCATATTTACACGTTCATATCTATATGCTTGTCCTATTGAAAGTCTTGACATTTTGGAATACTGAGAGGAAAAGATCATCTTGTATATCTGATTATGAATAATTCAATTAAGTCTCTTATCTCTAGCTATTCTATTGTTTAATTGTCAAATTTGTGTTAAGGTGTGGTTTAAGTGCTAAATTGGTTCAAGATTATTTTGAATACAGTAAATACTTACATATATATATATATATATATATCCTATAAAAGGCATTAAATTCCCAATGGGATTCTATCTACACCACAATCCTCTCAAACTCACTCTAGGTCTCACACATACACCTATAAAGATATATCAAGTGACGTTGATTCACCACAAAAACAAAATATTCTTACACTTCATTATTAAAATGTGAATATCCAACTCAAAATTAATTAATAATAATTAAAAAAATTCAAATATATATTAAACAACTATGCAGGACTTCTCATTTTCCAGCTTCGAATAATACTATGCTATCAACACTTAGTCACATGCATGACTCAAAATTTTCGGCAATTATAATTTGACATCACTAGTAAAAAAAAACCCTTGCGCGACCAAAAACTATTCGTCACTCAATGTCACTTTGCACGACGAAACTAAAAACTTCATCGCTCAAGTCTTGCACGACCAAAATTTGCGCGACGAAAAACAATTTGTCGCGCAAAGTCACTTTGCGTGATGACAATACATCGTTGCTCAAAGTGACTTTGCGCGACGAAACAATAAACTTTGTTGCACAAAGTCTTTAGCGACGAAGTGTGTTTTGTCGCGCATTTTGTAAAAAAAATAAAAAAAATTATTTTTTAAAATCTTTGCATGACGTAATCCAAACATTTCGTCGCCTAAACCAATTTATTTTTGTTTTTTATTTCGTATGCATAACACTTAAGAAATTAAACGGCATATATATTTATTAAGTAGCTTTAAATTTATTATTTTAGTTCGGATCGGATTTTTG